ACTGACAATATCTACATGGGATGTCAATATTCATAATTGCATGATGGTGTGTAGAGTCTGTTCCTATAGGACTCCTGTAATGATGTACTGCGTCTTAAATAAAATATAGGGCCAGGTTTGTGTGCCTGCTTGCTAGCGCCCTGGTCAAAAGTAGTGTACTACATAGAGAATAGGGTGCCATTTGGGACGCAGCCCTTCTGTCTTCCCCTTCATCCTGTCTTTGTCTTCTACCTTAAACGGTGTAATCTTCAAAAGCCCATTAAAAGTAGGGAGCGAAAGCATAGAGCAACATTAATAATACACATCTGTCTGTTCTGTGAGAAGAAAAATCACATTTAACGACAGAAAAACGATGACCTCGCTAGCTTTACCTGCATAGTGAAGTACAAAGCAACAAGATATACAATAATGTCATGGTAAAACACAGACTAAAAGACAGTTGGGAAAATGTAAAGAGACAAGGGATCTATTGGGAGTAGGCCACAGTTCGGATTATATTGTATGATAGCTTCTCTGTTTATATTCTAGTTAACAAGGTCATTGTGACCTTGTAAATACATGTCTTTGTCTACTTTGTCACTGGCGTCATTTGCTAGTTATCAGCCATACAGACATAGCCCGGTGAATGTTATTAGTGTGTTAGTCAATGGTTGGCATTCCACTGAGGGTTTCACCGACACCGGTTCGTTTGTCCGCAGATCAGAACTTAGGAGAGGTGTTCTTTTTAATTAATCATTTGTCCTTCAAACAGTCAAGTTTCTCTCCTTCGTTATACGTTGGTTCTCCACAGATAATTAGGTCCCATAGTTCAGCTAATTCCACTTGAGAACTGGTTGTAGCCACCTGCTTCTTTTGTATGGGTAATCTTTGTCTTGTAAGATTCTGTCCCCGTAGACTATTGCAGCTCATGAAGAATGAGAAAATGTCTCTTTTTCCCCACAGTGTCCTCCGTGCACTTGCCTAAAATGTTAATTGTATGCGTACAACACATTCTCTCTCTCTCACACACACACACACACACACAGAGAGAGACACACACACACATACTCTCTCTCTCTCACACACACACACACACACACACACACATACAAATACACACACCTTGGTGTGATAGTGAGGTGTTGATTTTAGGTGTATATGGATCTGAAAGGAAAACTAATCCTATTAATTCAAAGTGAATAACAAAGAGTACCAGGCCTTTTCCCATGTTGTTCCATTTATTCAACCTGCTAGTGTTTTGTTCTTCCATCATAATTATTTCCCAGTCAGATCCACACTGATTTCCTGGTGGACTTGTGTACCTCAGACTAACTTATAGAACAACGGAGCCGGGATAATTCACACTATTCCTCTGGGGTGGTGTTCTCAGTTTTTTCAAGGACATTTTTATTACAAAGCTGATGGAATTTGCATATTAATTCATTTCTTTCCATTTTTAAGATTAAATGTTGTCAACATGTATCAGTGCAAGGCTTTGACAGAGCTGATGAAATGGGTCAGTCAAGCTTGAACATTTTGGAGTATAGCAGCCATCTGCAACCTCCGAGCCCCCAGTGCCAAGCGCTCTCTGTCTCTCCTGCAACTTGATTAAAGAAAAGGACTTTAACTGGGGAGGGGCGGCGAGCGGGTAGCAAGGGGGGAAGGCTAAAATGATATGCCAAATTCTATCAACTTGATTAGAGTGTCATTAGAGGCCGTCGATTCATAAAGTGCATTTTCATGTTTTTTTTCTTCTGTTTTTAGACAAATACGATTTCCTTTTTAATACATCCCTTGTGCTTTTTTTGTATCTATTATCACACCAATAGACAGACCATCTGCAGCTCGAGGCTTCACCTATTTATTCTCATTCTGAATCACTCAAGAGTGAAGTCCAGTCCACTATCCCGCGTGATTATACGTTTCCTCGGCAGCACAACATTGATTAACTTAAACGGCTGGAAATGAGCAAACCAGTTTTCAGAACGGTTTCATGTTCACAATCATAAATTAACACAAATCCCTGGCTATCTCTATGTCTTTCATCTGCTGTAGTCAGTGCTGTACTAGGCACTACACAGCAAGTAGTCCTGTCTCTGTTTATCTTCTCATCCCTGTTCCGTCCTGTACTGTCCTGTCATCTGTCCTGTCCTTTTCCGTCCTGTGCTGTACCGTCCTGTCCTCGTCCTGTCCGCCTGCCGCCCTGTTCCGTCCTGTTCCGTCCTGTATCCGTCCATCCTGTCCGTCCTGTTCCGTCCTGTCCGTCTGTTCGTGTCCGTCCTTTCCGTCCTGTCCTGTCCTGTTCCGTCCTGTTCCCGTCCTGTTTCCTGTTTCCGCTGTCCTGTAACGTCCTGTCCCGTCCTTTCCGTTCTGTACTGTCCTGTCCCGTCCTGTTCCTTCCGTCCGTCCTGTCCCGTCTGTTCCGTCCTGTTCCGTCTGTTCCGTCCTGTTCCGTCCTGTACTGTCCTGTACCGTCCTGTTCCTCTGTTCGTCCTGTACCGTCCTGTTCCATCCTGTTCGGTCCTGTACACTTACTTGTCTGATCCGTCACTCTCCTCCACCCCCCTGAACCTCCTGGATCTACTGGATAACTAATTCACTATGTTCACTGTTGAGCACAGAATTCAGTCTGGTTAACCAGCTACCTGTGATTAGCAGGGCCAGCACCCTACATGACATGACAAGACACAGTCACTACCTTGCCCCACCTCCCCTGCACTGTGAGTCACACAGGTGGCCTTTACCCTGTTCATTAGTTGTAACTAGAGTCTCTGTCTTGACAAGTGTTATTGCTGTTCTGTCTTGTCCCTGTTGCCACGTCCTGTTCTCGCTACTCTGTCCTGTCAGTCGTTCTTCCATCCTGTCCGTCCGTCCGTCCTGTTCCGTCTTTCCGTCCTGTCCTGTTACGTCCTCGTTCCGTCCTGTACTGTCCTGTCCGTCCTGTTCCGTCCTGTCTGTCCTGTCCGTCCTGTTCCGTCCTGTTCCGTCTGTCACCGTCCTGTCCGTCCTGTTCCTGTCGTCACGTCCTGTACTGTCTGTCCCTCCTGTCCGTCTGTTCCGTCCTGTACTGTCCGTCCCGTCCTGTTTCCGTCCTGTCGTCGTCCTGTTCCGTCTGTCCGTCCTGTACGTCTTCCGATCCTGTTCCGTCTGTTCCGTCCTGTTACTGTCCTGTCCCGTCCTGTATCCGTCCTGCTCCCGTCCTGTTCCGTCCTGTCGTCCTGTCCCGTCCTGTTCCGTCCTGTTCCGTCCTGTTCCGTCCTGTTCCGTCCTGTCCCGTCCTGTTCCGTCCTGTTCCGTCCTGTTCCGTCCTGTTCTGTCCTGTACCGTCCTGTCCCGTCCTGTTCCGTCCTGTACTGTCCTGTCCCGTCCTGTTCCGTCCTGTACCGTCCTGTCCCGTCCTGTTCCGTTCTGTACTGTCCTGTCCCGTCCTGTACCGTCCTGTTCCGTCCTGTCCCGTCCTGTTCCGTCCTGTTCCGTCCTGTTCCGTCCTGTTCCGTCCTGTACTGTCCTGTACCGTCCTGTTCCATCCTGTTCGGTCCTGTACCGTCCTGTTCCATCCTGTTCGGTCCTGTACACTTACTCTGTCTGATCCAGTACACTCTCCCTCCACCCCCCTGCAACCTCCCTGAGATCTAGCCTGGCATAACTAATTTCACTATGTTTCACTGTTGAGCACAGAATTCAGTCTGGTTAAACCAGGCTACCTGTGATTAGCAGCGGGCCAGCAACCCCGTAACATGCAGCCATGACAAGACACAGTCAACCCTCACCATTGCCACCACCTCCCCCTGCACTGTGATGTCACACTAAGGGTGGGCCGTTATGATAAGGGAACCTTATCCAGAGATATCAGTGAGAAGAAGAAGAAACACACACACCTTCATCTACTCCATCTAGCTTTCTATCTGACACCCACCACCTCAACCTCACCTCAGCATCTTGCTTTCATTTCAAATCACGTAAGCAGCAAAGTCATGAGAGAAAAACAGAATAGGCCATTTATCTGGTGTTGACTGTCAAAAGTAGTGCACTATGTAGGGAATAGTGTACCATTTGGGACGCAGCGTGGACATGGGGCCACAGTGACCTGCAGCTGATAACAACTGGCCTGCCACATCACCGCGTCACCCTCATTACCATATTAATAATGGATGGGCCTGGGCCACATCGCCTTGTGCTCTCCTGTCCTGTGCTCTCCTGTCCTGTGCTCTCATGTCCTGTGCTCCCCTGTCCTGTGCTCTCCTGTCCTGTGCTCCCCTGTCCTGTGCTCCCCTGTCCTGTGCTCCCCTGTCCTGTGCTCCCCTGTCCTGTGCTCCCCTGTCCTGTGCTCCCCTACAGGGTGGCAGGCTGGAGATGTCTAGAGGAGCATGTTATCTGACCACTGGCTATAGCTGTATGTATACACAGTTACAGGACAGGGAGGAGCTCCCTTGGACAAATGTCCATTCAGGGACAAAATCTTGTCTAGATGGACATATTTGTGGTTGGGATAACCATAATCAATGTATGGAAGGTCTCTATAAAGTCTTGTCTGATACGTTCAACAGTATATAGATGCGGGCTGGGTATCTGAAAACTTCATGTTGAAAATATCAACTTTCATCTTCAGTTCTTTTAATGACAAACTCTTTTGGCAAGCTTCTGATTTAGCCTTTTTACATTTTAATAGACACTCATAAAATAAATCATTGTTAGTTAGTCAACAACAAGACCCCTGTTTTTTTTTATTCACGTTGATGGACTATATGGCACCAACTGTAGCTCCCTGATTGTAATAATAAATGAATTTGAAGGGATTTATGTCCATTTGAGAGAAAGCCTTGTCAATTAGAGCACTTTTAAAGAGCGTTTACAACTCGGGATTTAATTATCACTTCACTCTTCGGGGCCTTTCAGCTTTCTTTGCACCTCTTAATTGATCTGCTGTGTTTATCGTTGATGCGTTAGCGTTTAATCCTTCCATTTGGCTGTAAACGCACGCCTGTAAGCACGCCTCATGTTGCCTTCATCTAGAGCTTGACATGGTGACTGCTGACTCAGGTGGGGTTCCATCTTAGATAGATACAACAGCTCTCAAACAGAGAGGATATTTAGAGAGTGTTTTAGGGAAAACCGTTGGAAGTTTAGTTTCCCAAGCAAATGCAAACAGGCCAGTTTATAAAGGATATATTTATGAGTAGACCCATATATGAGTGTATTTGAAAACTAAACTTCCAACGGTTTTCCCTAAAATATTCTCTATACCCCCCTCTCTGTACATGTACGTTAGAAACACCTTTTGTATCCTCTGCTATTTCTAGATAACAATCATTTGAGTATTTTCAACCAAGGCATATCACCACTTTATTAAACTATATTAGAGGTGTTCCATGTTTAGATGGAAAAATGTGTTTTCATCAATTAACTTAATCACTTGGTCTAGGAGAAACAGATTGGAACATATTTGCTTCAATTTATCTTAATTTATCTTTAGAGATGGATTGTGAAATCAGCAAAGTGGCCGGGCACACTTAGTGATGGAGAGCAAAATTGGTTGTCATGGAAACGCAGCTATTATATTATATTAAAATCTAAGAGGTGCCTCTTGAAAGGTCTCAGGGGGTCCTGTAGCGACCATTTAAGAATGATATTGACCGTGACAAAAAACTAAACATTAATCCAGTTCTCCACTCTGGAGAGAAATACAGTACATATTCACCGTTTCCACCCGCACTGTGAAACTGGACACCAGTCAGAGTACCTCAATTATTAGTTGATATCTTGAATTCGCCATACAGGAAAATGTGAAAATTATTGAATTGTTACATCTTTTGAATGTCACTCTGCCTGAAATGATGCATGGTATACAGTGGGGGAAAAAAGTATTTAGTCAGCCACCAATTGTGCAAGTTCTCCCACTTAAAAAGATGAGAGAGGCCTGTAATTTTCATCATAGGTACACGTCAACTATGACAGACAAAATGAGAAAAAAAAATCCAGAAAATCACATTGTAGGATTTTGTAATGAATTTATTTGCAAATTATGGTGGAAAATATGTATTTGGTCAATAACAAAAGTTTCTCAATACTTTGTTATATACCCTTTGTTGGCAATGACACAGGTCAAACATTTTTCTGTAAGTCTTCACAAGGTTTTCACACACTGTTGCTGGTATTTTGGCCCATTCCTCCATGCAGATCTCCTCTAGAGCAGTGATGTTTTGGGGCTGTCGCTGGGCAACACGGACTTTCAACTCCCTCCAAAGATTTTCTATGGGGTTGAGATCTGGAGACTGGCTAGGCCACTCCAGGACCTTGAAATGCTTCTTACGAAGCCACTCCTTCGTTGCCCGGGCGGTGTGTTTGGGATCATTATCATTGCCTCTTGAAAGACCCAGCCACGTTTCATCTTCAATGCCCTTGCTGATGGAAGGAGGTTTTCACTCAAAATCTCACGATACATGGCCCCATTCATTCTTTCCTTTATACGGATCAGTCGTCCTGGTCCCTTTGCAGAAAAACAGCCCCAAAGCATGATGTTTCCACCCCCATGCTTCACAGTAGGTATGGTGTTCTTTGGATGCAACTCAGCATTCTTTGTCCTCCAAACACGACGAGTTGAGTTTTTACCAAAAAGTTCTATTTTGGTTTCATCTGACCATATGACATTCTCCCAATCCGCTTCTGGATCATCCAAATGCACTCTAGCAAACTTCAGACGGGCCTGGACATGTACTGGCTTAAGCAGGGGGACACGTCTGGCACTGCAGGATTTGAGTCCCTGGCGGCGTAGTGTGTTATTGATGGTAGGGTTTGTTACTTTGGTCCCAGCTCTCTGCAGGTCATTCACTAGGTCCCCCCGTGTGGTTCTGGGATTTTTGCTCACCGTTCTTGTGATCATTTTGACCCCACGGGGTGAGATCTTGCGTGGAGCCCCAGATCGAGGGAGATTATCAGTGGTCTTGTATGTCTTCCATTTCCTAATAATTGCTCCCACAGTTGATTTCTTCAAACCAAGCTGCTTACCTATTGCAGATTCAGTCTTCCCAGCCTGGTGCTTGTCTACAATTTTGTTTCTTGTGTCCTTTGACAGCTCTTTGGTCTTGGCCATAGTGGAGTTTGGAGTGTGACTGTTTGAGGTTGTGGACAGGTGTCTTTTATACTGATAACAAGTTCAAACAGGTGCCATTAATACAGGTAACGAGTGGAGGACAGAGAAGCCTCTTAAAGAAGAAGTTACAGGTCTGTGAGAGCCAGAAATCTTGCTTGTTTGTAGGTGACCAAATACTTATTTTCCACCATAATTTGCAAATAAATTCATTAAAAATCCTACAATGTGATTTTCTGGATTTTTTTTCCCTCATTTTGTCTGTCATAGTTGACGTGTACCTATGATGAAAATTACAGGCCTCTCTCATCTTTTTAAGTGGGAGAACTTACACAATTGGTGGCTGACTAAATACTTTTTTCCCCCACTGTAGCTGTATGTTTTTAATGAATCTCCCTCCCTGGGAGTGTTGGCTAGAGCGATACTGGGGGTAAAGGATGGGAGGCACAAGTGACAGAGGACAAGGTGCCTGACGGCATTTTTCCTGTCAACCTCTAATTATTAAAGCTGCCATTGCAATACAAGTCCCTCTCTGTATGTTTCACATCCCGCTCACACACGCACACACACATAAACACACACACATATACACACACACACACACTGACACACTTTCTCTCTCTCACACACACAGACTTTCTCTCTCACAAAGGCGAGCTGTATTGAAAAATCACCCTCTACCTCTCAATATGGAGCCAGCCAGCAAAGCCTTCCAATTAGTACAGGGCCTGGTGCATTATATATCATTACTAATGTACAGAGAGAGGCCATCATTCATCAGAGTGGGGCGAGACAAGGACCTCCCCGCGTCTAGATATGGAGGACAGACACACTGAGCCTGAGCCATGGGCCATACACTTGATTTATATGTGCGTTAAATGCTTGACGCTTTGAATTGGTACTAATATTTATATAAATGTAAATTGAGGAATATTAGCAGCCTGAGTAGGGGAGCCACGCTAAGGCATATAAGACACATAAGACATACGGAGGGAGCTTGTAGCTTGTAGCTTGTAGCAGTGTCTTGGCTTTGTAGCAGCTTCATCCTCTGAGTCGTCCCTGGTGTGTAGAAATTGTATGGTGACGGGGGTTGTCAGGGAGAGGAGAGGAGAGGAGCAACAGGGGGCTAAAGAACTGCCAGTGGGTTATTGATGATGGTCAACACTCACCACCACAGCACAGAAAGTAATACTTTTAAAGTCTCATCACTTACACACAGAGATGGTTCATTGTGAGGGCTTTTATCAGGAAAATGAATCTAGACCGGCAGACCCTGCCAAACCATAAATTATGCTCACAAATGATTTTTTCTTTTTAAGAAGTCATCTTTTATGGTGTCATTTTTATATTAGATCCAGGCTTGTAAAGCTTATTGTCTTGTATAGTTTCACATTTCACTGCAAAGTGCTCTGGCACTTGATGTTTGACGGCTTCTTACTCTACATGTAAAAAGTTGGTAGGCTACATTGACTTTTCAAGGTGTGGGCACTGCTCTCTTTTTACTATCAACATAAACATGCATGGATCTCAATATGGTCACTTGACCACACGATTAAGTGGTAATCACTCTATGGTTTACGTGTTAACACGGTACTTCATGTATTACAACCATATCACACATACCTACAGTACAGTATATCATTATTCTCCCATGCAGTATCAAAACCATTCATTGGGCTGGGGCTGCCCTCGCAATAGAACCATGAGTGCATCCGAAATGGCACCCTTTCCCCTATATAGTGTACTAATTTTGACCAGTCTTATGTCTTATGGGCCCTGGTAAAAAGTAGTGCACTATAAAGGGAATAGGGTGCCATTTGGGATGAATACAGTACCATGTGAAATCAGCCTTCTCTATCTAGGAACACAAATTATCCCCTGTGCCACTCCACACTATAATAATCAGAGTAATGCTCCAACAGAGCTCATATTACCATTAGTTTGAAGAAGAAAGTATTGCAATGGCGTTCAACGTGTCTGACTCGTAAATTGCCCAGTCTATAATTCACATTCACATCATAACCCTCAACTAACAAGCCCACTGGTGCTGAAACACACCACCACCCCCCAACCCATCACAAATGACTCTGATGTTGCTTTAGTTAGACGTCCGTAGGGTGAAAAAAGAGCCCTGTGTCTTTAAGGCCAGTCGGTTGGCTCGTGCCTTCCCTCCTTCCCTAATGAAAATGCTCAGTTCGAAGAGGCTCTGATCTTGTGTTTTAGTCAAATAGAACTCTGCAGCTGACTGGCAGCTCTGATCTAAAGCATTTAAGTGTACGTTTTGATCTCTTTGCCTTTGATTAAAACTAATGAGCTCATTTAATTCAAAATGGGAATCTGTGATAAGAGAAATAAGGTTGATGTGATTGGATTAGAGAGGCGAATTAAACTCCTAGAGCTGCTGCTGAAGTTTGTGGCTGCTGCTGCTTATGCAGTGTATTAAAAAGCTGTTGGCGTATTCTGCTGTGTTAGATGATGAGCAAAATTTCATAGTAATTCATATTTAATCAGAAGAAATGAAATGACTAAATATAACATGGCTCTGGCTTCTCCCCAGAGTGATAAAGGACTGGTTAGATTTTAAATGACATTTAATTCATGTCCTCAGAAAAGAAGAGAAAAAAACGACGCCTTGTGAAAGAGAATGGCAGCAGCCCTTACCCCTCCCCCCAGCCTCCTCACCCATCCTTTCATCCCTCCAGCCCCACCCTCCTCCTTTACACTGATCACATTGTTTCCAGTTCCAGAGACCCAAAGTCACTGCAGCCTTGTTATATGCAGAGTAGAAGAAAACCGGATTTTCCAGGTGTGCTGTTTTAGTAATCCCATTTCAATGTAATCTCCTAGTCTTGTCCATGGCTGTGTGTCTGCCTGTCTGCCTGTAGAGTAAAGTGGAGGCTGTTTAATGTCCTGTCCAGCTCTGGGGACAGAGACAGTCAGGGGAGACACACTCATCCACACACACACACACACACACACATGCTTGTTTAACTAACCTTGTGGGGACACAACATTGCGTCCCATTCAAAATCCTATTTTCCCTAACCCCTAACCCTAAACCTAACCCTAAACTTAACCCTAACCCTAACCCTGACTCCTAACCCTAATGCTAAACCTTACCTTTAACCCCTAATTCTAACCCTAACACTAATTCTAACCTTAACCCTAAACCCCCTAGAAATAGCCTTTTTCCTTGTGGGGTCCCCAAATGTCCTCAATTTTTCTTAGTTTCCTATTCTTGTGGGGACTTCTGGTCCCCACAAGTATAGTTAAACACGTCCACACACACACGCACACACACACACACACAGTCAGCGAGACAAGGAGGGGCGGGCCTGTCTACACCTATATTATCTCCCCTGATGGATTGAATGTTATGTATATGCATTTGATTATTAAGCCTTGATCAGGAGCGCAGGAACACAGAGTGACAAATTGACCGTTTCACCTTTGACAAATACAGTGGGGGAAAAAAGTATTTAGTCAGCCACCAATTGTGCAAGTTCTCCCACTTAAAAAGATGAGAGAGGCCTGTAATTTTCATCATAGGTACACGTCAACTATGACAGACAAAATGAGGAAAAAAAATTCCAGAAAATCACATTGTAGGATTTTTAATGAATTTATTTGCAAATTATGGTGGAAAATATGTATTTGGTCAATAACAAAAGTTTCTCAATACTTTGTCATATACCCTTTGTTGGCAATGACACAGGTCAAACGTTTTCTGTAAGTCTTCACAAGGTTTTCACACACTGTTGCTGGTATTTTGGCCCATTCCTCCATGCAGATCTCCTCTAGAGCAGTGATGTTTTGGGGCTGTCGCTGGGCAACACAGACGTTCAACTCCCTCCAAAGATTTTCTATGGGGTTGAGATCTGGAGACTGGCTAGGCCACTCCAGGACCTTGAAATGCTTCTTACGAAGCCACTCCTTCGTTGCCCGGGCGGTGTGTTTGGGATCATTGTCATGCTGAAAGACCCAGCCACGTTTCATCTTCAATGCCCTTGCTGATGGAAGGAGGTTTTCACTCAAAATCTCACGATACATGGCCCCATTCATTCTTTCCTTTACACGGATCAGTCGTCCTGGTCCCTTTGCAGAAAAACAGCCCCAAAGCATGATGTTTCCACCCCCATTCTTCACAGTAGGTATGGTGTTCTTTGGATGCAACTCAGCATTCTTTGTCCTCCAAACACGACAAGTTGAGTTTTTACCAAAAAGTTCTATTTTGGTTTCATCTGACCATATGACATTCTCCCAATCCTCTTCTGGATAATCCAAATGCACTCTAGCAAACTTCAGACGGGCCTGGACATGTACTGGCTTAAGCAGGGGGACATGTCTGGCACTGCAGGATTTGAGTCCCCGGCGGCGTAGTGTGTTACTGATGGTAGGCTTTGTTGCTTTGGTCCCAGCTCTCTGCAGGTCATTCACTAGGTCCCCCCGTGTGGTTCTGGGATTTTTGCTCACCGTTCTTGTGATCATTTTGACCCCACGGGATGAGATCTTGCGTGGAGCCCCAGATCGAGGGAGATTATCAGTGGTCTTGTATGTCTTCCATTTCCTAATAATTGCTCCCACAGTTGATTTCTTCAAACCAAACTGCTTACCTATTGCAGATTCAGTCTTCCCAGCCTGGTGCAGGTCTACAATTTTGTTTCTGGTGTCCTTTGACAGCTCTTTGGTCTTGGCCATAGTGGAGTTTGGAGTGTGACTGTTTGAGGTTGTGGACAGGTGTCTTTTATACTGATAACAAGTTCAAACAGGTGCCATTAATACAGGTAACGCGTGGAGGACAGAGGAGCCTCTTAAAGAAGAAGTTACAGGTCTGTGAGAGCCAGAAATCTTGCTTGTTTGTAGGTAACCAAATACTTATTTTCCACCATAATTTGCAAATAAATTCATTAAAAATCCTACAATGTGATTTTCTGGAAAAATTTTTTTTCTCAATTTGTCTGTCATAGTTGACGTGTACTTATGATGAAAATTACAGGCCTCTCTCATCTTTTTAAGTGGGAGAACTTGCACAATTGGTGGCTGACTAAATACTTTTTTTCCCCCACTGTAGGTATCCTTGTTGTGTTCTGTTGCCGAGACTGACCTCAGTTATGGTCGTGTTTAAATGCGTTGAGATGAACATGTATGTTTAGAATTGACTTGAGATCTTGAACTTTGTTGAAGCAAGGATGAATATATTTGTTTAGAATTAGATGAGCTCTAATTAATTGACAATGTCACGCTTGTTTGTTTGTGCATATAAAAAAAACTTGAATCAACTCTAAGAAGTATTTCCAGTACATTAAATTGCAATATTGTACTTCATGGAGAACACATACTACACTTGGGCTGAATGAAGAGAAACATGCACTTGACTTTTTAACAATTACAGTGTTAGACGAAGCAGAGGTTGTACGCTATTACAGAACATAATTAAAACATTGTCCAACTTATATTGGCAACTTGTATTGTGTTGTTTTCCATTAGAAGATTACCTGGGAGATGATAGTAAGTCAATGAGAACGTATTACATCTGCACTATCTTACTTAATATCGCCCTACCTCTCTTAGGCTTTACTACTAAATACTACTACAAAACACACAGACGTATTGGCCAGGTAATGTAAAGTAACTGTGTGTGTGTGTGTGTGTGTTTGCCTCCACAGTTGAGTCCACCAGCCCCAGCCTACTTTCCCCAGACAACACTCTAGAGCGCTCTTTCTTCATCCGTATGAAGTCCACACTGACCAAGAGAGGTGTCCACATCAAGTCTTCAGGCTATAAGGTAAGACCCAGAGGCACAGTGGCCAAGCCATAGAGATCCTATAATTCACATCCCCACAGCAGTGTGGTGTTACATACAGTGCATTCGGAAAGTATTCAGACCCCTTGACTTTTTCCACATTTTGTTATGTTTACAGCCTTATTCTAAAATGGATTAAATCGTTTTTTTCCCTCGTCAATCTACACACAATACCCCATAATGAAAAAGCAAAAACAGGTTTTTATAAATGTTTAAATAAAATAAAAACTGAAGAATTACATTTACATAAGTATTTAGACCCTTTACTCAGTACTTTGTTGAAGCACCTTTGGCAGCGATTACAGCCTCGAGTCTTCTTGAATATGATGCTACAAGCTTGGCACACCTGTATTTGGGGAGTTTCTCCCATTCTTCTCAGCAGATCCTCTCAAGCTCTGTCAGGTTGGATGGGGAGCGTTGCTGCACAGCTATTTTCAGGTCTCTCCAGAGTTGTTCGATCGGGCTCAAGTCCGGGCGCTGGCTGGGCCACGCAAGGACATTCAGAGACTTGTCCCGAAGCCAATCCTGCGTTGTCTTTGCTGTGTGCTTATGGTCGTTGTCCTGTTGGAAGTTGAACCTTCACCCCAGTCTGAGGTCCTGAGCGCTCTGGAGCAGGTTTTCTTCATGGATCTCTCTGTACTTTGCTCCGTTCATCTTTCCCTCGATCCAGACTAGTCTCCCAGTCCCTGCCGCTGAAAAACATCCCCACAGCATTATGCTGCTACCACCATGCTTCACCATAGGGATAGTGCCAGGTTTATTCCAGACGTGCTGCTTGGCATTCAGGCCAAAGAGTTCAATCTTGGTTTTATCAGACCAGATAATTTTGTTTCTCATGGTCTGAGAGTCCTTTAGGTGCCTTTTGGCAAATCTCCAAGCGGGCTGTCATGTGCCTTTTACTGAGGAGTGGCTTCTGTCTGGCCACTCTACCATAAAGGCCTGATTGGTGGAGTGCTGCAGAGATGCTTGTCCTTCTGGAAAGTTCTCCCATCTCCACAGAGGAACTCTGGAGCTCTGTCAGAGTGACCATCGGGTTCTTGGTCACCTCCCTGACCAAGGCCCTTCTCCCCCGATTGCTCAGTTTGGACGTGCGGCCATCTCTAGGAAGAGTCTTGGTGGTTCCAAACTTCTTCCATTTAAGAATGATGGAGGCCACTGTGTTCTTGGGGACCTTCAATGCTGCAGAAATGTTTCAGTACCCTTCCCCAGACCTGTGCCTCAACACAGTCCTGTCTCTGAGCTCTACGGACAATTCCTTCGACCTCATGGCTTGGTTTTTGCTCTGACATGCACTGTCAACTGTGGGACCTTATATAGACAGGTGTGTGCCTTTCCAAATCATATCCAATCAATTGAATTTATCACAGGTGGACTCCAATCAACATCTCAAGGATGATCAATGGAAAAAGGATGCACCTGAGTTCAATTTCGAGTCTTATAACAAAGGGTCTGAATACCTAAATAAGGTATTTCTGTTTTTTATTTTAAATACATTTGCTAACATTTCAAAAAACCTCTTTTCACTTTGTCATTATGGGGTATTGTGTGTAGATTGATTATTTATTTAATCCATTTTAGAATAAGGCTGTAAAATGTGGAAAAAGTCAAGGTGTCTGAATACTTTCCCAAGGCACTGTATAAACACTGTATATCAAACATTAGGAGCACCTTCCTAATATTGAGTTGCACCCCCCCTTTGCCCTCAGAACAGCCTCAATTCATCGGGGCATGGACTCTACAAGGTGTCAAAAGCGTTCCACAGGGATGCTGGCCCATGTTCTTAAGGTTTTGTATACTCAGTGTATGGTGTTCTATATGTAATTCTACGGGCCCTGAAGTCATCATCATACTCATAGCATGACGGAAAACTTGTAGCTGTCGGTGTTAACGTTATTTATAGAGAAAAAGTCACGCAGGCTCAACAGTAAGTTGATAAGATGTGTGGCTTCTGGGGGCTTTGGAACAGAGATATAGGATTAAGGCTGATGCTATGGTCAGTAAGGACACACAGGGACGAGCCCAGCCTCATCCTGATGCCCCTATCTCTCTCCAAGGATCTCCCTATCATCTCTGTCTCTTTGTCTGTTTCTGGCCTCATTCTGGCTTTATCCCACCCTAATGCACTTTGTGTTCTCAAGGGTAAACCCAACAGCAGTAGAGCGGGATTGGATATATCTCTCCAATGCCTTTATTGTATATTGTATTTGCAGTAGCAAAGTTTGCCGGACTAAGAATGAAAAGGTATAAATAAATTGACCGTCTGGCACCAAAAATTGTGTTTTCGTTGGTCTTGGACGGTAATGGCTGGCTATGGTAGTGAACTAAGGCTCTTCCTGACAGAAAGAAAGCGAGAGAGAGAGAGAGAATCCAAACGTCTCTTTACATAGTTCTACATCTCCCATGTTGTTTGCCATGTCCACCCAGACATATGCAAATAACCATGAAGAATGGACGCCATGGTGCCCAGGCATATATATTCACATACGCACACATGCATACATTACAGGCCAGACAAGGACACCTCTTATTGCGTTTACTTTAAATTAAGTCAACACTTGTGTTGTTACAGGCGGGTGGTAGGTAGGTATGAATTTTGCATACGGCATCCACCAGGCATTAGGTGATCTGCTTCTCCAGCCGAGAGCCCGGGCGACGAAGCGAGGTGAGGCACGACAGTATCGGCGGCACGCATCATGGCCGCTTATATCCCCACTTCACTCTGGAGGTCAAATCAAAGTGAATTCTGCTCTAGCTTTAAACCCATCTTTTTTAAACAGATCTCAGCCCATCTCATTTAATGCGCTCATGTAAAGGTTCTCCATCATTATTTGTGCTGTATCACATTTCAAAAGCACTCCAGAGAATCCCCGGGAACAGATGAATCTTATTTCTTATGTATACCTCTTCTATATTCACTGGCGGGGTAGAGAGTGCATTGTGTGCTGAACCATGAATTATAAAAATTGATCCCTTTGTTATGTTGGCTTGTATTAAATTGAGATATGCTATTCGTCTGCCTCTCACTGCCGCTGTTGTGAACCCTTGCCGTGTCAGTTTGCATTTAGCTGCTTGAGCATATTTAATGTTTCGCCAGAGCTTATGATGTTCTTGCCAAGAGCACTCCTGCAGCAATCTAGCTGCCTGCCGTTTGCTTTGTGGCAATTACTTGAAAAGTTGTATTTTTCAAACTAACTTTTGATGCCTCAAGCTTTGGGCTTCTGAAAAGATCATTTCCATTTTGTATGTTTTTAATACATTTGAGTTTATTTATTTAACAGAGAGCTCCTTTGTATTAATTTGAGTGAAGCAGAGCGGTGTGTATTTTATTTTGCATGGGCTGACGTCCTCTGGAGGGGGGCTGGTGTTTACCAGAAGCAAAGCATCATGGGCTTGTTTCATCCAGCCAGTCCAGTCATTAGACATCTTCCTCTGCCCTGGTCTCATTGTGCTGCTGTGATGTCTTATTGAAACCTGCCAACCAACAGCCTTGTCAAATGTGTGTCAGCACCTGCCTGACTGTCACTCTGGGGTCTGATCAAGATAGACAGCATACTGTCTGACTGATGTGTGAGGCTGATCAGCATACTGATCAAGTACTATTTGAAATAATTTCAAATACTAAAGATGGGCTTGATTGAGCTTGCCTGGCACACTGGAACTAATAGAAAAGTTGGAAAATAGCAAAACCCTGCCCATCCAGCATTTCAGACAGGCTAAAGCAAACGCTAAAAGTATTTGAAAGATGTCAAATAGGATTTGAACCCAGGTCTGAGGAGGCTGATTTGCTGCATAGATTTCACATTTACATGTTGGCAGACACTCTTATCCAGAGCAACTTACAGGAGAAACTAGGGTGAAGTGCCTTGCTCAAGGGCACATCTGCAAATGTTTCACCTAGTCAGCTTGGGGATTCAAACCAGCAATCATTTGGTTAGTGGCCCAATGCTCTAAACAACTAGGCTACCTGCCGCCCTAGATCTGTTCAACACTTTGCTGCACAACGGACTGTAGGGAACTCTCATATGCATTCAACAGTGATTCTGAATGGACCAGACTTTGAGTGACGTGATACATACATGATGTCAAATATTACAGGAATTACTGTAGCTACAAAATATTGGGGACATACAGTGCCTTCAGAAAGTATTCATACCTCTTTACTTATGCCAGAATTCACAATGGATTAAGTAAATATTGTTTCTCACCCATCTACACACAAAGTGAAAACATGTTTTTTGAAATTTTAGCAAATGTATTTAAAATTAAATACAGAAATATAATTTACATAAATATTCACAGCCCTGAGTCAATACTTTGTAAAAGCACCTTTGGCGCCGATTACAGCTGTGATTATTTTGGGGTAAGTCTGTAAGAGCTTTGCACACCTGGATTGTACAACATTTGCCCATTATTCTTTTTTAAATTGTCAAGTTGATTGTTGATCATTGTTAGACAGCCATTTTTCAAGTCTTGCCATAGATCTACAAGCCGATTTAAGTCAAAACTGTAACTTGGCCACTCAGGAACATTCAATGTCGTCTTGGTAAGCAACTCCAGCGTAGATTTGGTCTTGTGCTTTAGGTTATTGTCCTGCTGAAAGGTGAATTAATCTCCAAGTGTCTGGTGGGAAGCAGACTGAACCAGGTTTTCCTCTAGGATTTTGCCTGTGGTTATAGTTGTATTCCGTTTCTTTTTATCCTAAAAAACTTTGTAGTCCTTGCCAATGGCAAGCATACCCATAACATGATGCAGCCACCACCATGCTTGAAAATATGAAGAGTGGTACTCAGTGACGTGTTGTTTTGGATTTGCCCCAAACATAACGCTTTGTATTCAGGACAAAAAGTTCATTTCTTTGCCACGTTTTTTGCAGTATTACTTAAGTGCCTTGTCACAAACAGGATGCATGTTTTGGAATATGTTTATTATGTACAGGCCTCCTTCTTTTCACTCTGTCCTGTAGGTAAGTATTGTGGAGTAATTACAATGTTCTTGATCCATCCTCAGTTTTCTCATATCACAATCATTAAACTCTGTAACTGTTTTAAAATCACCATTAGCCTCATTGTGAAATCCCTGAGCAGTTTCCTTGCTCTCCGGCAACTGTTACGAAAGACGCCTGTATCTTTGTAGTGACTGGATGTATTGATACACCATCCAAAGCCTAATTAATAACTTCACCATGCTCAAAGGGATATTCAGCATCTGCTACCAACTGGGCGCCCTTCCTTCTCCTCCCTGGTCTTTGTGGTTGAATCTGTGCTTGAAATTCACTACTCGATTGAGGGACCTTACAGATAATTGTATGTGTGGGGTACAGAGATGGGGTAGTCATTCAAAAATCATCTTTTGAACATGGAATGTGTCCATGCAACTTCTTACGCGATTTGTTAAGCACATTTTTACTCCTGAACTTATTTAGGCTTGCCATATCAAAGGGGTTGAATACTTGACTCAAGACATTTCAGCTTTACATTTTTTATTAATTTCAAAATTTAAATAAAAACTAAATTCCAGTTTGACAATATGGGGTATTGTGTGTAGATCCGTGACACAAAATCTAAATTTAATCAATTTAAAATTCAGGCTGTAACACAACAAATTGTGGAAAAGTAAAGGGGTGTGAATACTTTCTGAAGGCACTGTATACACTACCAGTCAACAGTTTGGACACACTTACTCATTCAAGGGTTTTTCTTTATTTTTACAATGTTTTACATTGTAGAATAATAGTGAAGACATCAAAACTATGAAATAACACATATGGAATCATGTAGTAACCAAAAAAGTGTTAAACAAATGAAAATATATTTTATATTTGAGATTCTTCAAATAGCCACCCCTTTGCCTTGATGACAGCTTTGCATACTCTTGGCATTCTCTCAACCAGCTTCATGAGGTAGTCACTTGGAATGTATTTCAATTAACAGGTGTGCCTTCTTAAAAGTTAATTTGTGGAATTTCTTTCCTTCTTAATGCGTTTGAGCCAATCAGTTGTGTTGTGACAAGGTAGGGGGGTATACAGAAGATAGCCCTATTTGGTAAAATACCAGGTACATATTATGGCAAGAACAGCTCAAATAAGCAAAGAGAAACAACAGTCCATCATTACTTTAAGACATGAAGGTCAGTCAATACGGAAAATTTCAACTTTGAACGTTTCTTCAAGTGCAGTCGCATAAACCATCAAGCGCTATGTTGAAACCGCCACAGGAAAGGAAGACCCAGAGTTATCTCTGACTGCAGAGGATAAGTTCATTAGAGTTACCAGCCTCAGAAATTGCAGCCCAAATAAATGCTTCACAGAGTTCAAGTAACCAACACATCTCAACATCAACTGTTCAGAGGAGACTGTGTGAATCAGGCCTTTATGGTCGAATTGCTGCAAAGAAACCACTACTAAAGGACACCAATAATAAGAAGAGTCTTGCTTGGGCCAAGAAACACGAGCAATGGACATTAGACTGGTGGAAATGTGCATGTATTTCCCACCGTAAAGCATGGAGAAGTAGGTGTTATGGTTTGGGGGTGCCTTGCTGGTGACACTGTCTGTGATTTATTTAGAATTCAAGGCACACTTAACCAGCATGGCTAACACAGCATTCTGCAGCGATACGCCGTCCCATCTGGTTTGGGCTTAGTGGGAATATCATTTGTTTTTCAACAGGACAATGACCCAACACACCTCCAGGCTGTGTAAGGGCTATTTTACCAAGAAGGAGAGTGATGGAGTGCTGCGTCAGATGACCTGGCCTCCACAATCCCCCGACCTCAACCAAATTGAGATGGTTTGGGATGAGTCAGACCGCAGAGTGAAGGAAAAGCAGCCAACAAGTGCTCAGCATATGTGGGAACTCCTTCAAGACTGTTGGAAAAGCATTCCAGGTGAAGCTGGTTGAAAGAATGACAAGAGTGTGCGAAGCTGTCATCAAGGCAATGGGTGGCTATTTAACACTTTTTTGGTTACTACATGATTCCAAATGTGTTATTTCATAGTTTTGATGTCGTCACTATTATTCTACAATGTAGAAAATAGTAAAAATCAAGAAAAACCCTTGAATGAGTAGGTGTTCTAAAACTTTTGACCGGTAGTGTATATCTATCACATATGTAACTCGTATAGAATATACAGCATCTTACACATAAAATATATCTAACACGTACACTAAATATACAAAAGTATGTGGACACCCCTTCAAATGAGTGGATTCGGCTATTTCAGCCACACTCGTTGCTGACAGTTATATAAAATCGAGCACACCGCCATGCAATCTCCATGGACAAACATTGGCAGTAGAATGGACTTACTGAAGAGCTCAGTGACTTTCAACGTGGCACCGTCATAGGATGCCACCTTTCCAACAAGTCAGTTTGTCAAATTTCTGCCCTTCTAGAGCTGCTCCGGTCAACTGTAAGTGCTGTTATTGTGAAGTGGAAACGTCTAGGAGCAACAATGGCTCAGCCGCGATGGGGTAGGCCACACAAGCTCACAGAACGGGACCGCAGAGTGCATGTAGACATGAAAAAATTATCTGTCTTCAGTTGAAATACTCACTACAGAGTTCCAAACTGCCTCTGGAAGCAACGTCAGCACAAGAATCGTTCATCGGGAGCTTCATGAAATGGGATTCCATGGCCGAGCAGCCGCATACAAGCCTAAGATCACCATGCGCAATGCCAAGCGTCGGCTGGAGTGGTGTAAAGCTCGCCGCCATTGGATTCTGGAGCAGTGAAAACGCGTTCTCTGGATTGATGAATCACGCTTCAACATTTGGCAGTCCGATGGACGAATCTGGGTTGGCGGATGCCAGGAGAACGCTACCTGCCCCAATGCATAGTGCCAACTGTAAAGTTTGGTGGAGGAGGAATAATGATCTGGGGCTGTTTTTCATGGTTCTGGCTAGGCCCCTTAGTTCCAGTGAAGGGAAATCTTAACGCTACAGCATAAAATGACATTCTAGACAATTCTGTGCTTTGTGGCAACCATTTGGGGAAAGCCCTTTCCTGTTTCAGCATGACAATGCCCCCGAGCACAAACCGAGGTCCATACAGAAATGGTTTGTCGAGATTTGTGTGGAAAAACTTGACTGGCCTGCACAGAGCCCTGACCTCAACCTCATCGAACACCTTTGGGATGAATTGGAAGACTGACTGCGAGCCAGGCCTAATCACCAAACATCAGTGCCCTACCTCACTAATGCTCTTGTGGCTGAATGGAAGCATGTCCCCGCAGCAATGTTCCAACATCTAGTGGAAAGCCTTCCCAGAAGAGTGGAGGCTGTTATAGCAGCAAAGGGTAGACCAACTCCACCCATGATTTTGGAATGAGATGTTCGACGAGCAGGTATCCACATACTTTTGGTCATGTAGTGTATATTTTGCACAGTAGCTGATTAACATGTTACAGAAATTACTGTAACTGCAAATCATGGGGGGCATATTGAACAGAATATAATCTGCATGGGTAGCAGATTGAGAGTACTTTTAACTGTTCTTAACTGTTCTTCACAGTCATTCCCCTGGTGATCTTGAACAAGGTCTCACTGCACTCTTCAACTATCTGTAAGTACTCTATCTGAGAGCAGCGTGACTTCAAGCACTAAACAGGCTGCAATCCTCAGCCCCAAAATGCCTCTCCTAGCATTCTGTTTTATGTGTTTTAGCAGGTCTTAGCTCGTACCCACTTTCTACTCTTTTGATTCTCACACTGTATAAAAGTGTTCAACTATGCCATTGGATGTCCTATACAGAGTTTAGTTGCATTCAAAATGGGTTTGAAGCGATAATTGACTGTTCTTCTTTGTCTGGAGAAACTCCAGGGAAAAGGAGTCAGTATCATTTAACTGTGGAAACTGATGATGGCTTCTAGCATGTCACAATCACTGATCGTTTCACTTTGAAAAGGAGATATCATACACCATCAAAACCATTTTTCTCCTGGGCCAGCATTCTGACGGGGCCATTGTAACATGTCAATGTTCTGTTAGCTTCCCAAGTTCCAACAACAACGCCATGTCTGAAATAGGACTGTTCTTTTTGTGTGTGTATCTCTCTGTCTCTCTATCCAATTGGCATTCAATGTCTCGTTCCCATTGTTGAGGGTTGCCTGTCCCTGGTGAAGCAGGAGAGGCACCGAGGTCCCCCATGGTCTGAGGCTTTGAATGAGTTTAGGGAGCAGGAACTGTCTGTGTGAATGATGATAATCGCGTCTCACCAATCTCAGAGGTGTGCCACTGAGAGGCCAGTGTCAGTAGTTTAAAGACTACAAAACAATTCCCCTTGGGTGTACTGGCAGTGATTAAAATGGATGGATCTGAAAGTGTAGTGTGCATATCTATTCAATTCCTCCTCTAGGGCAAAATGGAGCTACAAAGACTTTAAAATCTGAAACTTTAAAGCTAGCAATAATTAGGACCTTCAACTTTCTCTCTTCTCTTGTGTAGAATATCATTTCAGGAGAAAACATTTGTGTCCTATCTCCAATGTCTATATTTTTTGTTTAGAATTCTCCGTCACTGCTTTTGGACTGAAACACTCAGTCTCTTTCTCTCTCTCTCTCTCTGCCTCCCCCCTCTCTCCCTCCTCCTATAGGTGATCCATGTTACAGGCAGGCTGAGGATACGGATGGCATTGACCCACAGTCGGTCGGTACCCATTCAGATCATGGGCATGGTGGTGGTAGCCCACGCCCTCCCTCCTCCCACCATCAACGAGGTGCGCATAGACTGCCAAATGTTTGTCACCCGGGTCAACATGGACCTCAACATTGTCTACTGCGAGAATAGGTAAGACTTGATTTGACTTTACCCACATGGCAGTCAAATACATAACTGAAATACATGGGTATTCACCAAGATAAAAATACATTTCAATGAGGGATTAATAGTTTGGATAATAAAATACACATGATGATAAAATACGTATCACAGAACTACTCACCTCTTGTGTTAACACTGTGATCCCCCATGTCCTTGTTGTCAATGTTGTTACAACTACATAAAAGGGGTTCTTACTACCAATATATCCACAATGGATTATGGGTAAAACTTTACATTACGTTGCTCTTATACATGTGTAGGTAGTTACACTCGAATCACTACAGTGTTATTACGTATTATTTGTATAGTTTGTTTGTAATTGGATAGTAATAGGCCTATGTATTGTACACCTCATCTTGTCCATTGTATTTCTTTGCTACCTGTCCTCATCTCTATGGGATTGGGATCACTGAGATTTATTTTACCACTGTCTACCAGACAGTCAGTTATTTATGGGGAAATCACATCTGGACAGTCAGTTTTACAGTGAGATAGCCTCAGCTTTTCGGGAAAATAAAATGGGAAACTGATCAAGACTTCTTTCATGAGTTTCATAGGGTTTGTGGGAGACTAGAAATATCAGAAAATAACCGGACAATATTTAAGACAGATAGTAGACAGATTGCTTTTGGGTGAACAAAAAAAGAATGGATAGATGATATTCAATACTAAGTGATAGGCATTTTATCATGTGGAATGGGAAGACATCCTAGGTTCCATAATAGCCTTTTGTCCCTGAATGTTCTGAGTTATACGTGGGCTTATCTGCCTCAGAGTCATTAGTTTGACATATCAGGGTGACAAGAAAAATTGTCTATCTGGTTACACTGTAATGACACCCCATTCGAATCTTTCTCTCCGTTGGTGCTTCTTCTCTTGCCTTACATGCTGAATCCTTTTCAAATCCCTGTTCTAGAATTAGCGACTACATGGACCTGACGCCATTGGACATCGTAGGGAAGAGGTGTTACCAGTTCATTCATGCGGAGGACGTGGAAGGCATCCGGCACAGCCATTTAGACTGTGAGTATTATACTTTAAACGTTACAACATATTATGAACACATTATTGCTGAGTAAAGTTCCTGATTTAGGATGCTTCTTGTTATGGGTAGTGGTCCACTCAGATCAGGACAACCATCACAATTATCTCCAGCGTCATCTCTCCACCCAACACCAAAGGCATTGGTAATCGTCTGCTTCACTGCTAAGCTGTTGTTGTTCAGAACAAAGTTGTTCTGATCTTGTCAGTGTACAGAATCTGTGTAATAGGCCTGTAGAGAGACAACATCTAGATGATCCAAGTGATCTGCCTCTGTGACCTTCTGGGGTTCGAACTCAGGTCTCCTACCTGCCACAAGACTGGGTTAGCCCACTGAGCTAAAGCCGGAACAGTGTAGAGAGACAACATCTAGATGATCCATTGTGATCTGCCTCAGTGACTTACCTTGGACAGGGAAAATCTCTGGGGGTGGCAACATCAGGGATCTAGAAATATGTGCCATTAAAATAAATCCTCCCCATACTGTAGGTCAATAGGTGACTACAAACCCCAGGGAGGGAAAAGGGAAACCAAGACCCCAGTGAAAGTAAAATCAAGTTCACTCCCAACATTCCACTAAAATGAAATGGCTGCATGTCTTCTTTGTTTGTTTATGTTCAACTTTGAACTAAGTTTACTTTAAGGGTAATGGTCATCTTTGCAAAGATGTCTTTGCATCTCTACCCCATCTGAGCAGTTTTAATAGCCCATGGCAGGAGGTATGCTCTGCTTACTTGACCTTTTTTTTCTCAAAACGTGCCGTGATTTGCTATGTTTGTTTCGCCAATGAAACCTTTACTGTGGCTGGTAAAAATTTAGGAGGCGTTGCGGGAGCAGTGCACCATTTCATTGGGCTTCGCAACGTGGATTCAGTACTAGGCAGGCTGCCATTTTTGTGAGCTCAGCTGCGTCCTGGGCTTTCCCTTCATGCTGGATGCTGGATTGTAGGGTGTAAAGCGTGTAAATTCCCTTGCTTTACTAGGTGTTTGCCGGACAGGTAGGACGAGTGTCCTTGGGGTTGCCTCCTCGGCCGGTGAATTTGGAGCCGTCTGATTAGATATTGGGAGTTCAACTGAATTAGAGCACAATTACTGCTGCATGGAACTGTCCCTTCGCCTTAAAAAGGCACCAGAATGGGTCCATTAGCAGCTGATTTGAAACCCAGCAGAGGGAGAGTAGAGAGAGAGGGCTGACCATGGATCACATTGATAAGACAGGCTAAGGCAGGCAGATTGAGGCAGCAGGCTAGGCAGCAGCAGCAAACAGTGGCTGCATCATTGCATATCTCCAGCTACCCCTGGCTGTCTCTACATCTGATACACCCAGGCTTTAATCAACTTACAGTCAGTGCATTGGCTTGGAATTGGTTAAGTGTGCAGTGCTGCTAAATATTTATTTCATTTATTTACACTGAACAAACGCAACATGTAAAGTGTTGGTCCCATGTTTCATGAGCTGAAATAAAACATCCCCGAAATGTTCCATATGAACAAAAAGCTTATTTCTCAAAATGTTGTGCACAAATGTGTTTACATCCCTGTTAGTGAGCATTTCTCCTTTGCCAAGATAATCCATCCACCTGACAGGTGTGGCATATCAAGAAGCTGATTAAACAGCATGATCATTACACAGGTGCACCTTGTGCTGGGGACAATAAAATGCCACTTTAAAATGTGCAGTTTTGCCACACAACACAATGCCACAGATGTCTCAAGTTTTGAGGGAGCATGCTGACTGAAGGAATGTCCACCAGAGCTGTTGCCAGAGAATGTAATGTTAATTTCTCTACCATAAGCTGCCTCTAACTTTGTTTTCGAGAATTTGGCAGTACGTTCAACCGGCCTCACAACCACAGACCATGTGTAACCACGCCAGCCCAGGACCTCCACATCAGCTTCTTCAACTGCGGGATCTCTCTGAGGGAGGGGGGGGGGGGCTGAGGGGTATTTCTGTCTGTTATAAAGCCCTTTAGTGGGGAAAAACTCATTCTGATTGGCTGGGCCTGGCTCCCCAGTGGATGGGCCTGGCTGCCAAGTGGGTGGGCCTATGCCCTCTAAGGCCACCCATGGCTGCGCCACTGCCCAGTCATGTGAAATCCATAGGTTAGGGCCGAATGAATTTATTTCAATTGACTTATTTCCTTATATGAACTGTAACTCATTAAAATCTTTGAAGTTGTTCCATGTTGCGTTTATATTTTTTTTCAGTATATTTATTTAATCGTTTATTTTTGAGTTAGGGACAGATACAATTAAAAGATTGACATGTTGAATGAACAAGTCAGATTAATTGCAGCATCGCACTTAAGCGTGCACTAATATCCAATGTTTGTCCCCTTAGTATGGCTGTTAGTGGATTCAATATTGATTTCATCAAGGTATACTATACAGTATCTACTGTTAAAGAACAAAGCCATGGGAATTATTTGAGCAATTGGGATTCGTAGAACTAAGGTCTCTCAATTCCCCCTGACAAAATAACGACTTTGCTATGTTCCTATTTTCTGTTGATAGTTTCATCCACACATTGATGCTCATGACATATTCCCATCATTATCATCATCAGTGAAATTATCACCACATATCTGATGATAACTTGGCCTATGTGATGATAACTAACTGAAAAAGATGTAGTTATAGATGTTAATGAGCAGCTATTAGCACCTAACTCGTGCATCATAGTGCATTGGACATAGCTCATCAGGTATCATAAATGTGCTGATAATGCATTATGAAGAGGGTGTTCATAGGAAAAGTTACCAAAAATGGTATTAGCTTCTTTGGAAGTTGGTCTGAATAGCAACAATCAGCTGATGACTGTGAGCGGATCAGACAGGGTGACAAGGTCACTGGGTCTGGAGGAAATGGAAGATATTATTCCACTTGGCCAACTCTCTACACACGAGGTCAGAAGTGAACCAGACTTGAGAAGGTGTTTAAATGAATTGGCTTTTGTCCAAGCTTTATAATATGGCCATTTAGTCCCTCAGCTTTATTATTCATAGCGTATCCTAGGAAACGATCAGATCGACTCCATTTCATTTACAGTAAGTCTATACTGTGTGTATGTACATTGCTACAGTTCGTACTTCACTGCTCAAAGCATGTGGCATGACTGAAAAGGTTATTTTTTTATTCATTCGAAAAAGATACATGTTAAGACAAGACATGCATTAGTCAAATTATCTGATACATGACCTGAAGCATATACAGCAGGAACAAATGGCTTTGAGTGACTCTGTTATATCAGACTTGGGAAAAATATATGATTTTCATGAGATAGAGAGAGAGATTGGAGAGGATACTGTAGCTGAAAGAACTTAAATCTCAGAGGACTTAAGCCATCTGCCTCCAGGCATAATACCAGAAACTGTCTTCTAAGACTAGTTCAGACCGACTCTAATGAAACCTGCTCACTGGTTAGCATACTTAAAGGCAGACTCTACAGATTCTGAAAAATACAGCTGAAATGTTGAATACACACACAGGCAAAAGTTGCTGTAATTTCAAAGCTTTGGAAAACAGTAACTTTCGGCTTACACAATGCAATTGTGGTGAGTGGTGTACATAACGTACACCACTCACCACAACACAGGCAGAATTTTCTTGTGAAGCTAGACAAAAATCTAAAACCCGGCGGAGAAGAGAACATTCCCCCGTCTCCTCTCTCATTCATAAAAGGGTTGCCTTTACGATAATACCCTGATGGACTGCAAGGACTTTTCCATAAAGCAATTTCACGGGTGTAAATTACTTACTTTTATATGACGGTGACACCCCTCGTTGCAAGCCGGGCCTCTTTGGGTAAAGGGTATCTGAAAGGTAGCCACCATTATGGAAAGAATCCAAGTGATTAAAACAAACTGAAGGACAGGAGGAGAGGGAGAGAGGAGAAGAGGCTCACAGAAGCCGTCCTACAGGCATGCCTGGGGCTGCAGGAGAAAGAGACAGATTAAAGGGCCTGTATTCCTTTTAATGCCTCCAAAAGCTAGCGGACGACTCCGGCACCGGAAAACACCGGCCTTCATTAACACTAAATCAATAGGCGCAAGCAGACCCCTGATTGATTTAATGGCACTGTAACTGAAAGGGGTTAAAAAATAAGCCTCACCTGCAAAGACGTGGTGCCAGGGAAGCCAGGGGTGGAGTATATTGATGCTAATGCAGATGAGCGAGATCTGGTGTGTTTGGGGTTCAACGCAGAGCGATACAGAGATCCAGTACACTGGCTGTAGAGGTACAAGACCTGGTCAAAACTCACTGACATCAGAATATGACTGTAGGATTTACAGTTTGTCTTGTATACTTGATTTGTCAAGTTATTTACCTGATTAGGGTTATGGTTAGAAAACGTTTTTTTTTTATCTTAAATAAATATGGCAATAAATACATAGAAAAATATTACATGTGCCTTGACTACCAATATTATGAATCAATATCCTCACAATAGATACGGTATAAAGTTAGCAAATTCTTAATTATTTCAAAAATATTTCAACCACCTTTCCCAAATATTGTAGTTGCAGTTTAAATCAATATTTTGGTATTCAGAGAATCATGAATGATTATTAAACTGAAACTAATGTACATTTTGTTTATCCATCTCCTTTTTAAAATGTAGCATATTGTACATCAAATCATTGTTAACTCCTAGTATAAACAATGAAGGTGTGAGGTTATACACTACAGTATATCTCCTCTGTACTACCGTTAGTTGGTTGGAAAGCAAAACAAGTTATTTCTTTCAATTCCCTCTATCTTTCCCTCTAATTCTATATATGTATATGAAAAGAAAGCAGTCAGTGATCTAAAGTAAATTTTTTGAACCCTTGGGATGGTTTCTTAAACAATGCTATTAGTTCCTAATAGTTTTTAATTACTGGCCTTCTTTTTATATAAATCATTCCCCCCCCCCCATGGAACTATTTTTATGGTAGAGGCTATTTGTAGCCATAATTAAACTAAGAATATGAATTTACTACCTCACTCAGATTCTGACTGTTTCAGTTTTAGAGCGCCATGATGAATGCAAATACATATTGGTTGAGATAACCAATCAGCGGTTAATTTAGCCAAATTTATTGCAACCACTAGAGCGTCTTCACTTATGCTCAGGCAGACAAGGACATAGCCATCAGTGTAGTGTAGTGTAGTTAGGTAGTTGGTAGCTACAGAGTCACAGTGCCCCTTGGTGGTGGGTGAGGCTCACTGCAGCCAGCCTTCATGCAGACAGTCAGAGTGATGGGTTTGAAGCAAGCACACAATATTTCTTTAGAAAACCCTTTCTATCACCTACAATATAATTTTAAGCATCTACCCGATAATTACACCAATAACCTTATGCCTAACCCTAACCCTAAATCAAGACCCATAGATACAAATTAAATCACTAACGAACTAGTCATGCACATTGTTTTGCTTTTGTGTTGTTTTTATACTGAAATCACACACATATATAGTGATATCTTTACATTTGTTACAACAGATATATATTTCACCATGATGCACTAATTTATTCATAAGTGGTCCCGATCGACTCTCATTCGTTCCATATTACACATATTTCTTCCCTTATCGTTCGTTTCCAGATCAGCACACACACTGTCCTCTGAGGTATTTAATAGTGTGCCCTGTGCAGCCAAGTACACATCCCCATTCCTGTTTTAGCCAGTCAGAGAACTTGATTAATGATGGTAGGTAGAACAGAGAGCAGCACAGCCCCTCGCACAGCTGTTGGACACCACCTGATGGTCTCTCTCTTATCTCTTCTCTCCTCTCCCCTCTCCATCTCTCCCTTCTCTCTCCTCTCCTCTCCCCTCTCTTCTCTCTCCCATCCTCTCCTCTCTCCCCTCTCGTATCTCTCCTCTCTCCTCTCTTCCTCTCTTCCTCTCCCCTCTCTCCACCCCCAGTGATAAACAAGGGACAGTGTGTGACCAAGTACTACCGCTGGATCCAGAAGAATGGTGGGTACATCTGGATCCAGTCCAGTGCCACCATCGCCATCAACGCCAAGAACGCCAATGAAAAGAACATAATCTGGGTCAACTACGTACTCAGGTAAGGCAGGGCTCCATCTGTGAAACACCCAACACATGCCAGCCAGCGCACAGAAACAGTCTGCTTCCCAAATGGCACCATTTTCCCTATGTAGTGCACTACTTTTGACCAGGGCCCATAGGGTTACTGTATAGAGAATAGGGTGCTATACTTGGGAAGCACACACAGACTCAGCTACACCAGGAAGCAAACACAAGCATTGATTCAGATTGGTCATTCGTTTTCATTAAATATACATTTTTTCATTTTTCAACCAATGAGATAGGGCACATGGGACATAATTAAATAGTTGTGGTAGTATTTTAATCATTTCAGTATTTTAACCATGTATTTTTGTGAATTCCTATGAATCACATTTTGCATGTTTTTATCCAATTGTTTAAGCATATTTGTAGTACATCTATTCTATAGCTGCCAATTTGTCATAAGAGGATAATGGCATACTTCTGCCAGTATTAGTTTACTGTAAGGCACTGTCATTGTGAAGGATTTCTGCCTTTGGCACCACTGAATTGATCATTGTAGAATTATCTCAGCACTCTAAAGTGATTGAGGTGTTGTTATTGTAATTTTTCTAATTGAATTTAGCTACCAGCACAAGAAGAAACCCCTCTTTCATCAACTGTAATAGATGTATCTTTTCAATCGCCTTCCTAATTTTTCCTCACCTCTGCAGGCCAATAGAGCAGCTGTGAGAGCCAGAGAGCGAGGGGCTATGCTTTAGGGACGGTTGGATCAATCAGAACGCTAGAAGAATGGCAAATGCTGTGTGCTCTGCACTCCCTGGCAGGAATCTGTTTTAAATTCTTCTCTATTGGCAAAGACAATGACTTCCTTCCTGTACTGTCTGTCTCCTGCAGTAATCCAGAGTACAAGGACACGCCCATGGACATCGCCCAGCTGCCCAACCTTCCAGAGAAAGCCTCTGAGTCTTCAGAGACGTCCGACTCCGAGTCCGAGTCCAAGGAGAACTCTGGTACGGTACCATCGATCAATCAATCAATATAATTGTATTAATGAAGTACTTTTTTGGGCTTGTGTGGCTCAGTCGGTAGAGCACGGCGCTAACATATACGCAAAATGAATGCAGGCATGACTGTAAGTTGCTTTGGATAAAAGCGTCTGCTAAATAGCATATATACAACAGTTGCTTGACAGTGCTTGACACTATAACCTGGCCTAAGATATATGTTCATTTAAGTAGCAGCCAGCACTACTGTTTAGATATACACAAGCTGCAGGACTATACAGCTTTGTTCAAATAAGGAGTACAGCCAAGGGGGAGGAGAGGGCAGGAGAGGAGAGGATGATTTTGGGTGACAGTCTGTGGGAAGTGCCAGCATATTGGCCATTGGCACCAGGCCTCCCTCAGTGCCCCCATTCCAGCGTGCATGGTGAGGGTTGTGGCCCATACCAGCTGCTGCTGGGTAGAGAGTCCTCCTCATTCTGACAGTACGGTTGGAGAGCTCCACTGCTCCAGTATCCAGGGGGTGATCGGGTGCCAAGACAATGCCATAGCGACAGACAGACAGACAGACAGACATTAGTATAACAGCAGTAGAACACAATGGTATTTTGGGGAGTAAAGAAGTGTAGTCTTCAAATTGAGTGATGGGAATACTACATATATCTGAACAGGGGCTCAACTTTCACTGGGGACGGGGGGGGGGGGGGGGGGGGGGGGACATGTCCGAGCGGTCGGGTAGGCTGTTTGGAGTGTTTATCCAACTGGATAAAAAATATATTATAATAAAAATTATGTTCCCCCCATTTCTAAAACCAAAGTTGCGCTCCTGTATCTGAATATCATCTATACCAAAATAAATAAAACAAATCAAAATAAAGGGCATACAATATTATTTCATTTCCAAAACAGTGGATTTTTAGACATATCATTATACAGAATACATGGAGTTTTGAGTACTGTTCAGGTCTGCAAACTAAACGGCATCTTTCTCCCAGAAGACAACGAGAACTCCAAGTTGGACGGGAAGGGGAACCAGACTGAGAACAGCGAGGACCCGGAGACAGACAGTAAAAATCAGCAGCAGGGACAGTCATCCTCAGAGCAGGAGATGAGGCGTCAGGAGGAGGGAGATAGCTCCTCCAACCCAGAGAGCCAGGAGAGCGAGGATGACCTGGAGCCCAGCGACTGCGAGCTGGAGACCAAGGAGGGCAGACTGGGCCGGGTGGGGGGCCTGCACATCAAGGTGGAGCACTACGGAGATAGAGATGGAAGAATGGAGCTGCACAACTCGCCGTCCTCCTCTGAAGAAGAGGAAGATGATGACGACGATGAGGAAGACGATGATGATGACGACAGCGTTAAAGACTGTGACAGGACCACTGAGATGCTCGCCGCCCCCGCCGCCAGCAAGCAGCAGAAGCGTAAGAAGAGGAGGAAAAAGCAGAAGTGGGACGGTAGTCGTTCTAGACGCCTGCGCCTCTCCTCTGCCACGACCAGCCCAGGCACCATGAACCACCTCCCCATCGGGGGGGATGCACCCCTCCTGCCGCCTCCCTCCCTTGCCAGTGCCTCCGTGCTCAAGATCAAAACGGAAATGTCCGAGCCCATCAACTTCGACAACGACAGCAGCATCTGGAATTACCCTCCCAACAGGGAGATCTCCAGGAATGAGTCCCCCTACAGCATGACGAAGCCCGTCCCAGCCCACGATACCTTTCCCTCCCCGCAGCCTGGCAGTCTGCAGGTCTCCATCCCAGACTCAGTGCTCACTCCCCCAGGAACAGAGGGAGGCGGCGGAGGTGGAGGAACCAGGAAGGGCGTACCCCCCTCCTTCAACAGTAACAGCAGCGCCCCCTCCTCGGCCTCCAGCGTGGCCAGCCTGGCCCCTCCCTCCAGCTCTGGCTCCTCCTCCGACCCCCTGTCCCCGCCCCTCTCGGCCTCGCCTCGCGACAAGCAGCAGGGTCAGGGTACTCCCACCACCTCCAACTCCTCCTCCTCCCTGCTGTACACCAGCGACCTGGAGGCCCTGCAGAGGCTGCAGGCTGGGAACGTGGTGCTTCCTCTGGTCCACCGGGTCACCGGCACCCTCGCCACGACCAGCACTGCCGCCTCCCGGGTCTACACCACTGGCACCATCCGCTACGCCCCCGCCGACGTCACCTTGGCCATGCAGGCAGGGGCTAACCTGCTGCCCAACAACGTTGCCCACGCTATGAACTTTGTGGATGTCAATGGTAGCCCCGGCTTCGGCATCGACCCCAAGACGCCCATGGAGATGCTGTATCATCACGTCCACCGGCTCAACATGGCTGGCCCCTTTGGAGGTGGCGTGTCCGGTGCCAGCCTCACCCAGATGCCAGCAGCCAATGTATTCACCACGGCAGAGGGACTGTTCTCCACTCTTCCATTCCCTGTCTACAGTAACGGGATACACACCACACAAACTCTGGAGCGCAAAGAAGATTAAAGCAAAACACCAAGACCATATTACTGTGTTCAACTGTCAAAGACTTGTTGAGGCATAAGACTGTGTTTCAAGTGGAAAATAAATATATTCTAGCACTTTGAATTTGAGCAAATGAGCTTAGATAATAGAAATGAATGGCCCCATGTCTTTCTATCTTTTTGCTCTCTCTACTGACTCCCACTCTATCAATCTCTCGTCCTCTTCTTACTCCTCTTACAGTACGATCAAGGACATTTTCTCTTATCAAACTAAACTGACTATTCTTTATTGTAAAGAATTCCTTTTTGCCTACAGAGAATTCATATTACCGTTTGTCTCCTACTGGAGTCTTGGGTATACTACTTTTTATTTGAGTTGATTATGTTGCATCTTTATGAAGTGTATTTAAAGGGTGATGGTGGGAAATGTATTTCTATGGAAAGAAACCCTTGGATGGTTTTGCTCCATGTCTTGATGTGATCAAGGTTGACGAAGACAAAAGGATGTTGCCCTGTTTGACATGGTCATAGACATAACCTTAAAAGAAAGAGATTTGAAAGTTATTTCATAATGAGGGAATAGTTGTTTTAGAATTAATTTTGATTCTTTTTTTATAGCTCAGATTTAACTTGCAAATCAAGCATTAAAAAAGCAATTTCAGCCGGGTATTGACCTGTGAATAGAATGTTACTACAAATCCCAGGACTTTGGAACAAGAACAGGTCAGTACGAGATATGGGTATTCTCCCGGTTCCATTTCCTTGGTTATATCTCAAATGACACCGTATTCCCTATAAAGTGTGCCACTTTTTACCAGGGCCTATAGGGCTCTGGTCAAAAGTAGTGCACTATATAGGGAATAGGGTGCCATTTGGGATGCAGTCTTTCTCTGCAGTTCCATGGTGCTACTGTTCCATTGAGTTACTACCCTCCTTCAGCAGGCTGATGTAGGTTCTTATGTTCCACAGCTCTCTCACAGAGATGAGTGATTGAGTGACAGCTGGGGAGATTTCCTTCCTCAGTAAAGTCAAACCTCTAATCCACATATGTTCATGTTCATTACTACTCCCCTCAGTCAAGTTGTTTGAAAGGCTCAATCGGATTGGGCCTGAAGGATAGAATATACCTATATGGAGCAGGTTGATTTTGTTTGTATTTTTTCAAAACTAGATCACTTTTTCTCAGTGTAACTGAGGCTAATTTGCATCATTAACTTGAAAAATGAATGTTTAACTTTGACCGGCTTCTGTCAATTGTTTTTTCTACTCTACCCTTCCTCTTCCTCTTCCATTCTAAACCTCACTACTATCAACAACAGTCTCCCAAATCTGTTCTTCCATCAGCCATTGTCGGACTCTCTGAAATCACATATCAAGGAGATTGTAATAAGGACATGCATTTCAATCAAACGGAATATGAGTTTTTAGAAAAATCACATTCCCCGATTTTTTCTCTGTTGCCAAAAAAAGTTATTTCACAGTTTGGTGTTAAGAACACTGTGATTGTTGTTTAAAAAAAATAGTAATAAAATGGAAAAACTGTCACTTCATCTTTTGACAGCCGTCCATCAAGTCATCTATTACCAAGCGTGATAACCGTAAACGTGTACAATGTGTAAGTGTCACTGGCTGTCAGTCTCCATAGCGATTTCAGTGTGTGTTACTATATGCAGTATATACTGAGCTGATGTAGCCGTTTTGTCCTTTGTCTTCTCTGTGCTTTATCTGTAGTCTGGGGTTGGACAGGGAATGTTTGTAACCCTCTCCGTCCCCTCTGCAGTCTTAGTGAACCCGTGGAGGTTAGTGGATTTCGTGTGGTGGCCTTCCAATGTAGCGTCACCTTTCTGCTGCTTCCTTTTGTCTGTATTTCTTTCTGTTTCTGCTGTTGCTTTGCTGTTGTGTAGTCTACAGACCTCTCTTTTTCTCAGAGATAAAAGACTCTTAACTAGCTCAAAGGTTTAAGGAGCCATTTTTTGCCACTGAGGAATTCTGGGATTACAGTTTCCAGCTTGCATTTACCTACACTACGAAAAATGACAACAAAAAGCTAAAGTAGCATTTAGATGTATCTTCTAGACTGGAACCATAAAAGCCTCAGTTGTGAAACATTCCCAGAGTCCTTTGTGCTTCTTGTATGCATTGGGTGTATTTCATTGGTTTCCACCAAACCTGTTGACTTCAAGGACCCTGCAACTTACAGAACAAAAAGATCACGGTAGTATTTCAGGACAATAAACAATTTTAAAGATTTCTAAAGAAATGAAAAGAAAAAATATTTCGCACTATAAATCTATTTTTATAGCTAGGTGTTTTGGAAATGCATGTTAACTAAGTTGATTGTTTGGTTTACTTAATTTTGTTCGGTCCAGCAGCTTTGTCTCAACGTTCAGTGTTTTTTAGTCTGTCCAGCAAAGGGAGGGGGAGCCTTTGTCTTTTGAAATGAATCAGGCTACTCCCCTACATCAGGAAACAGTGTCTGTGGTTTCTGTGAAGATGTGTTGTTACTCAAATCCAGGTCATGAAATAAATGTGTTTTTAAAAAAAGAACGAAAATTGGGGGTCGGTTGGTTGGAATGGTGGAATGGTTGCAGGAGAACGTAGTGTCACCACTTGAGATTGATTCTATTCTAGATGTTAGTGTTTTCTACGACGTAGTGAAGCGGGGTGAGAGTGGGAGACTGTCGGGTCGGGGGCAGCTCACTTAAAACAGACACTGTGGACGGACCAGGAAATACACCCATATGTTACAACAGAACAGCAGGATGAGCTGTTTTAATGTCTCTGTGACTGTGTTGTGTCAAAATGAATTGCTGGTGATTTAAACTTAAACTAATCTCAGCTACTGTCAGATAAATAGTGTTTAAAATTAAAATATGAAAAATCACTTCATTACTTGTGAAGACTGTGTCCGTGTTTTGAACTATTTCTTGTACAATTATACAGATTATTTTATGAGGAACTTGGTGCCAAGTAGATGAATACTACAGGAGAAAGGGAGTCTCTTAGTATCAATGTTAACAGTGTTATACATTCTAAATACAAACAAATTAAAATATTAAAAAGAGAAAACGATGGTACATTTATTATTTTATTTGTTTTGTTTTTTTCTTTGAAGAAAAAAAACATAACTAACTGAAGCTAACTTTGAGTGCCTGGCTTATTTTAAAACATTTTGAAAAACATATTTTTATTTTCATTTACCATGAATAATGCTGCAATTTCAGAAATGTACATACTTCATTTTACAACAGGGTTATTTTATACTTTTGTAGGTTTCCATCCGTTCAAAGAAACATGTCATACATGGTTGTTCTTTCTGTAACACGTTTTTTTTACCATTTTACAGGTGCCATATTCATAATAAACTTCTCTTGGATTTGTTCACATCTGGCATCATTTCTTTTATTCAACCATCTCAATGAATACCGCACACCTCAGTAAGCTGCCTCCATTTTTCTTTCTTTCTTTATGACTTTCTTTCTTTTCTGATCTTGCTTGAAAAAATGTGTACTGGTCTTTAATGCTTTTCCTAGTTGGAAACTGTGCTGTGGGAACATTGCTGGGACATCCATTCAGGTATGTTCACACTCAACACTCCTGCCATAACGGTAGCTATGTCAGACCGCAGTCCTGGATACACCAGGTTCATCCCCCTCCAATCAGAATACTCTGTTAATTATTTAATGTAGTCTGATTGAGCACATCGTTATATGACTCAGCAGAGGGTCAATCAGAGTGCAGCTAGTACTGTTTGTTGAAACATACAGTATGATGTTAGCTCACCCATAGACAGACAATACTGTGATAATGACCGAAAGACTGTTTAACAACAAGACAAATGAAGCGACTATCATCACATGGAGTAACACTCACACACACATCATTATCTTGGACGGACAATCTGACTATCTTGTCAATGTCACTGTGGTGTAATACCAGTTTAAAGCTGAAACTGTCTTTCAAACTAGCTACAATGTTTTGTCTCATTTTGTTTGCCCATAGGCCTATCATGCCTAGAGTGAAATGCATCTAGTGGAAATGCATTGAAAACACTGACGTCTTATTGAATGCCATAGTTATCCGGAGATACTGTATGTTTGATCCGAGTAATGACACAACCAGACTAAGCGGAAGAAGAAAAAAAATGTCAAACATTTTAAACACTTTCCCCATTTATTGCCGACAAGGCCTGTCTAGAAAAAGGTGCCCATGTCATCAACTGTCTCTCTCTATTGGTGATTTTGTAATGAGCATAATCTGTTGATATAATTTTTCATATTAAATGTGATAAATGACTAACTACATCTGTAATAAATGCAGTAAATGGTATGAGCATTTTGAGTGCTTTTTTCTATTTTCTTTTATCTCAACTGGTGTTTTGGAAATCTGGTAACTTTGATGTTTCGGAACCTGGTAACAGTTTTTTAGGTGTCACACCTGGTAAATGAAATGGCCCCCTATGAGAACAGCAAGACTGATGTTGGCCCCATGATAATTTGAATGTGAGGCCCCTGACTTAAAGGCTGTTTAATACTGAACCCGTTTTGATATACAAATGGATGGGCGGAGGATCGTTGGAAATATATTTGTTGAATCTATCAATTGACACACATATCCCCTGATTAGCACCATGTTCCATAGCTATATGGACAATGAGTCTGTCAATCTGTTCTCTACGATGTTTGTCGGTCTGTATGTCAAGCACCAACTGCTGCCCGTCTATCATTCTTCCTGCCATGATTTCAGGCAACGGTGAGGAGGAGAGGTCAGATCATAGCAGAAGCCCGAAAAGGCGATCCAGCCCATTTTAAATATTTTACACTATTTTAAATGAGGATTATGAATGATAGATCACAGGGCAGAGAGAAACTATGAACCTGAAGATTCTCTAATGACCTCAAGCTGTCCATCTCAGAACTCATCCAACCAGTCCAGCCTTCTGATTCTGATTTAGAATCTCACAGTGTTCTGTTTGTACACTAGAAAGATCACCCATTAGACTGATAGAGCAACCCTTTTAAT